CCAGGACGGGTGCCTCGTTCTCCTTGGGGGTCTCGTTCCGGCAGCGAGAGTCTGAGAAGAATCACCAGAGGCGCTGGAATTGGGGCCTTGACTTCCAGGCCCTCCCCTCCGCTCTAAACACCAGTCCCCACTCCCCTCTCAGAGCCGGGGAGAGAACCCAGGAGTACTGGCTCCCTGCCCCCTCCTCCCTCCCACTCTAACCCACTACACCCCACTCCCCACCCAGAGCTGGGGAGAGAACCCAGGAGTCCTGGGTCTCCCGGGGGGGGGGGGGGCTGTTACTCACAGAGGAAATGGACCGTGACTCCGACCAGCGCCGCCCCCACCAGTGACCCGATGACGATCCCAGCGATGGCCCAGGCAGAGAGAGCTGAAGGAGCACCTGGGCGAGGGACATCAGGAGGAGAGATGAGGGGGGTGTTTGGATCAGATGGTTCAGCCACAATCCCCCCACCCCACTCCCTGCAGCCCAGGCCCTCTAGCATCGCACTGGGGCATTGGTGCCAGCACTGGGATCCCTGTGTCTGCAGCGTGTTGCTCCATCCCAGGGACTCACCCGACCCTGTCACCCACACGGCGACAGACGCCCAGGCAGTGCGGCCGGTGACGGGGTTGTGAGCCCGGCACTCGTACGTCCCCTGCTGAGCCCAGGTCGTGAGATTAAAAGTCAAGCTGCTCCCGGTCTCCTTAGTGTCGGTGCCATTGAGAACCCAGCGATAGCTCAGGGCTGGGACAGAGTCGGCGACGCATGTCAGGTTCAGAAGCGACCCGAGAGTCAGGGCGATGGATCCTGGTGGGTCTATCTGGGCAGAGTCCGGTCCATCTACAGAAAGAGGGACAGGGTCAGGGGATGGATGGCGCCAGCGAGGAGTCCCTGTTTAACCAGAACCCTGCCCCACCCCAGAGGCAGCTGCATCTCAGTGGCAGGGAAGAGGCCCTCCATAAACTTCCCCTGTGCCCCATGCTGGGGGGGGTAGGGAGGCTGCATCTCCATGGCTGGGTGATGCCGGCAGGGCCAGGGGCAGCACGGCTGGGGGACGGGGCTGCAGTTACTCACAGGCCAGCGTCACGGTGCTGGGCTCGCTGCGGTTGGTGATGACGGGGTTCCCGACCTCGCACTGGTAGGCGCCGGCGTCGCCTCGGGTGACACCCAGCACCTTGAGGGTCCGGTTGCCGGAGGACAGCACCAGCCGCTCACTGGGCGCGAGGGACACCTCGTCCCGGAGCCAGAGCACGGTGTTGGCGCTGGGGGAGCCGTTACACGTGAGGGTGAAGGTCCAGTTCTCCAGCACCTGGATTTGGCCGGGCGTCACCGTGGGCTTGGGCAGGATTTCTGGGAACAGAGAGAGCATCACTGGGGGGTAGCAGCACAGTGGGACTCCTGCCCCACAGCCCCGTGGGGGATTCAGACCCAGCTGCCTGGTAGCAGTAGTGAGCTGTTATCCAGTCACCAATTTTAGTGTAGGGCTATTTGGGAAAGAGCGGAATTCTGGGAGCCGGGACTCCTGGGTTCTATCCCAGCTCTGGGAGGGGGGGGTTGGTGGGTTAGAGGAGTGGGGGTCTGAGCCAGGACTCCTGGGTTTGATCCAGGCTCTGGGGGGTGTGGGGTGTGAGCTCTGTGTGGGGATGTCTGTGCACCTGGCACAGGGGGGCCCTGGGGGCCCATGTGACGCAGATAATCAATCCCAACAGCGATAGCAGCGCCTGGCGGGGGGTCACGCCCTGTCTATGTTCAGGTCCATGTAGGCTGGGGCAGTTCTGGCTCCCAGTTCAGGGAGGAAAAAGGGGAGGCTGGGGGCCCAGAGCCCCACAGCTTGGGGGGGTCACTGTCTCTCAGGTGCTGGGGTACCTGGGTTGCCCCACGGTGTCTGAGTTTGGGGAAAGTTTCCCCCTGTGACCTAGCCGAGTTCTTCCCAAGGGGGAGATGCCCAGAGCCCCATCACTGAGGCAGGGCCCGGGGTCAGTGCAGCTCCCGAGGTGACACTTACCAGAGACGCGCAGATCCACCGTGGAGAGGACAGGGCTAGTTGGGCTCCGTATCTGCACCGTGCTCGGCGGGGTGGTGGTCACTGGGGTCTGGGCCGGCGCCGGCTGGAGGCAGGAGCCCAGGACGGAGGCTGCGGGCGGGGGGGAGACCAGAGAGACTGATACCAACTGGTGCCCCTCACTCCCGACCTGCAGCCCCTTTGCTTTCCTTTGCACTGTCCCCTGTTACAGCCCTTAGTGTCCGGGACACCTGGGTCCCATGGTCCGTCTCCCTCCCCCCCAGTCTGTCAGGGATTTGCCCCATTGCTCTTTGCTGCTGTGGGACCCGCCTGGGTATCTACATGGGGCTGGATCTGGGGGGAGGGGAGCTGGGTGCGCCCTCAGTGCTCTGGGACAGAGACACAAACAACTGATCCCTGCTAATCCCCTCATGCAAAGCAGGAGCTGCAGGAACAAAGCGGCATCTGATGGGTCCCACCCCAATGCTGTGGGGTGCAGCCTCGGGGGAGCCCAGGGATGGAACCAGCCTTGGGCAGGAAGTGTCGGACTCTGCTCCTGCCAGCCAAACCCTGTGTTCCCCCCAGCTCTGCAAGTGCCCCTCAATCCTGACCCACAGACCCCTGCTAGCCTGGCTCCCCCCAGCTCTGCCGGTGCCCCTCACTCCCGCCCGACCCGCAGCCGCTTTACTTTCATTTGCAATGGTTGGAGGCCTTTGTGTCTCGGACACCTGGGTCCCACGTTCTCCCCTCTCCCGACCCGTCCCTCTGACCTGCCAGGAGAATCCCTGACCAAGGGCCGCCCGGTCTGTGGGGGATTTGCCCCATTGCCCCTCGCTGCTGCAGGACCCGCCGGGAGCTGCTGGGACAGTGGAGACGCCTGGTTCCCAGCTGTAGCCAAAGGGCAGAGATTGGGGAAGTGTGTGGGGGGGAGCGAGATGGTACAAAGCACCTCCCTTGCCCGGCCCAGCGCAGGGATGGGGCAGGGGTACAGCCCCTTTGGCACCATGCCCCACCTTCCCAACAGCCCTGCCTGCCTCCACTGCCGGGGGGGGGGGGATGTGACTCACCTTCGCCCCACCTCACATGGGAGGGGGGGTAAATCCAGTCCCCACCGCAGGATGTGAACCTGATATGTGCTCTCCAGGGCAACTGCTCCCGTCCCCAGGGATGGGGCTGGTCCTGGGAGGTGCGGGGCACTGTCACACTGGAGGGGGAATTGTCCCTGGGGGGTTAATGCCTGGCACAGGGTGGGCCCCCCAGCCCCTGGGGATCTGCACCCCCCACCCTGGGTCCCCCCAGCTACCTCCCAGTAGGGGGTGTGTCGATGGAGGAACCATCCCTGGAGACCCCCAGGAAGGGGGGAAGAGAGAGACACCCTTGGGGGGGAGAGAGAGACACCCCCTGGGGGGTCAGAGAGAGACACGGGGCGGGGCAGAGCACAGACAGACAGGGATCTGGGACAGCTGGGAGGTAAAGTCCCCCCAACCCCTGCGGCCGGGATGGGACGGACCCGCTCCAGGGTGGGGCGAGGTGCAGGACACAGAGCGTAAAGGCACCTGCGCCCAGACAGACGCACAGAGGTGGGGGGAAGGGAAACAGCCCCCCCTCGCAACCTGGGGTGTGTGCATGTGACACAGACACACAGAGCAGGGCTTGTCCCCTCCAGCAGGGGGTGCAGGGACCCCCCCACCACACACACATACACACACCCCAACTCCCTGCACCCTTCGGTCCCTCGCTCGGGGAGTTCACGCCAAGGCTGTACGCGGGGACGGGGCGGCTCCCCCCCCAGCCCCTTTGGGACCCCGATTGGACAGGGAAGCGTTGGGGGAGGGGGGAGCCCCAAATCCCGAGTCAGTCCCCCCCCCAATCGCCAGAGCGGTTCAGCAGATCCCGAGATCTCACCCCGCGGCTCCGGCCGGAGCGCCGCGTGTCCCGGGTGCCCCCGACGCGCAGTGATGTGTCCCCGAGCGCGGGGAGTCCCTGGGGCCCCCCGGTGCGGCGAGAGCTGGGACTGGGGTGAGCAGGGGCCAGCGGCCAGAGGCCGGACGGGGCTGGTGTCCTGGACGCTGCTGCCGCGCGTGGGAACCCGCCAAACCTGCGGAGATTGTACGTGGTATCGCCTCCCCCCATCACAGGTTCTCGCGGCCTCTCCCCCGCAGCCTCCAGCCGGCGCCGGCCCAGACCCCGACCCCCAGAACCCCGAACTGGAGGGGACGCGGCCCCCTGGCCCCACACGCCTGGGCTACAGCCGGTACCGCTCATTGACCGCTGCTGAAAACAGGAGCGTCAGTTACTCCCCCCCCCCCCAAGTCCCCCTGCTCAGACCCCGGCCCCTGCGCATTGCAGGGTTAACGCGCCCCGACCAGACCCCCGCCCCAGACGGATCAGCCCGTCTATGGTGGGTGCCTCCCCCGCCCCCGCTGTCCCCATTGTTCTCACGCTCGCCCGGGGCCCCATTCTGCCAGGTGCTGCACACCGGACAGAGACGCGCCTGCGAGGAGCTAAGGGGGACGGGGACGGGGGGAATCCAGGACTCCAGGTCCCTTCCCACAGAAAGGGACTCCAATGCCCCAGTGTGACACTAGGGGGCGCTGGGCTGCAAGGAATGGGCGCAGAGAGAACCCAGGAGTCCTGGCGCCCAGCCCTCCCCAGCTCTAACCCACTGGACTAGATGTCTTCAAGTCACCAGGGCCTGATGAAATGCATCCCAGAATACTCAAGGAGCTGACTGAGGAGATATCTGAGCCATTAGCGATTATCTTTGAAAAGTCATAGAAGACGGGAGAGATTCCAGAGGACTGGAAAAGGGCAAATCTAGTGCCCATCTCTAAAAAGGGAAATAAGGACAATCCAGGGAATTACAGACCAGTCAGCTTAACTTCTGTACCCGGAAATATAATGGAGCAAATAATTAAGCAATCAGTTTGCAAACACATAGAAGATAATAAGGTGATAAGTAACAGTAGCACGGGTTTGTCAGGAACAAATCATGTCAAACCAACCTGAGAGCTTCCTTTGACAGGGTAACAAGCCTTGTGGATGGGGGGAAGCGGTAGATGTGGTCTATCATGACTCTGTCTCTCATGACCTTCTCCTAAACAAACTAGGGAAATGCAACCTCGATGGAGCTACTATAAGGTGGGTGCAAAACTGGTTGGAAAACCGTTCCCAGACAGTAGTTATCAGTGGTTCACAGTCATGCTGTCAGGGCATAACGAGTGGGGTCCCGCAGGGATCGGTTCTGGGTCTGGTTCTGTTCAATATCTTCATCAATGATTTAGATAATGGCATAGAGATACACTTATAAAGTGTGTGGACGATACCAAGCTGGCAGGGGTTGCAAGTGCTTTGGAGGACAGGATTAAAATGATCTGGGCAAACCAGAGAAATGGTCTGAAGTAAATAGGATGAAATTCAATCAGGACAAATACAAGTCACTCCCCTTAGGAAGGAACAACCAGTTTCATACACAATAAATGGGCAATGACGGCCTAGGAAGGAGAACTGCGGAAAGGGATCTGGGGGGTCATAGTCGACCACAAGCTAAATATGAGTCAACAGTGTAACGCTCTTGCAAACAAAGCAAACATCATTCTGGGATGTCTTAGCAGGAGTGTTGTAAGCAAGACACGAGATCTAATTCTTCCGCTCTACTCCGTGCTGATTAGGCCTCCACTGGAGTATCGTGTCCAGTTCTGGGTGCCACATTTCAGGAAGGATGTGGACAAATTGGAGGAAGTCCAGAGAAGAGCAACAGAAATGATTAAACATCTAGAAAACCTGTGAGGGAAGCAGGGCCGGCTCCAGGGTTTTGGCCGCCCCAAGCAGCCAAAACAAAACAAAACAAAAAAGCCGCGATCGCGATCTGCGGCGGCAATTCGGCGGGAGGTCCTTCACTCCCAGGCGGAGTGAGGGACCATCCGCCGAATTGCCGCCAAATACCTGGACGTGCCGCCCCTCTCCGGAGCGGCCGCCCCAAGCACCTGCTTGAGAAGCTGGTGCCTGGAGCCAGCCCTGGAGGGAAGATTGAAAAAATTGGTTTCAGAGTAGCAGCCGTGTCAGTCTGTAGCAGCAAAAAGAACAGGAGTACTTGTGGAACCTTAGAGACTAACAAATTGCTTAATTGGAATTAATTTGCAAACTGGACACCATTAAATTAGCCTTGAATAAAGACTGGGAGTGGATGGGTCATCACACCAAGTAAAACTATTTCCCCATGTTTATTCCGCCCCTCCCTCCTCCCACTGCTCCTCACACCTTCTTTTCAACTGCTGGAAATGGGCCATGTTGATTACCACTACAAAAAGGTTTTTTTTCTCTCGTTATAGTGTGTAGGGTAACACCCATTGTTTCATGTTCTCTGT